ATTTAACAAAGAGATGGTGCATCGAGAAATACAGAAAGAAGTCTAAGCACACAAATAATGGGTCAGTTCGAAGCTATTCAAGAGGCTATGATTAAACAAAACACTCGACCACCCACCATGGAGGGAGAGTCTCATCGAACCCGCCCTCAAATGGCTCCCCTTGATAATCCGCCAACACCCCATGGTTAGCCTGGTGATCGGCCAACTGAAGGACCAAAGGATTCACAACCAAAAGACAATGTCGCATCTACATCGGTTCTCCAACATCGGGCAGACCAAGTAGGAAAGCTTGCTTAACCGACTATGGGTAGCGCTTTCTCCCGAAGAATCCTGAAAACCATACCTCTAACGAAGCTCAGGATTCCCCACTTCGGTCCTATAAAGGGAAGAGTGACCCAGCTGATCACCTGGCTTCTTTCAAATCAACGGTCGGAGCCTAGCTGATTGATGACGTAATGAAGTGTCGGCTATTGTTAACCTCATTTTTTGTCAGATAAGAGTTACACGGGCAACACCTCATGGTCTGACATGATGAAATTGGCCAAAAGGGCACCCAGCTCATTTTGCCAAGCCACAAAGTACCTCGGTGTGGTCATGTTGTGGCCTTCCTCCAAGGATTAGGTCGCGAATCATCACACTTATGTAGGCAGCAATATGTTGCTCATTAACCGTCGGGCTGATCTTCATTATCGGCTCGTAACCTCAGTAGATAGCAACAAAGCATCCTGTCGCTACTTTCAACACCTATAAAAGGGGTCTCTGACAGAGGGAATGGCATGGTTCGGGCACTGTTAGCAGAGGAAAAAGAAGTGCAAAGGGAGAAGAAGAAGGGAAGAAATTCTCAGATAAGCCTCCTTCTCTGATCAGCCTCCTCTCCTCCCCATAAATTCTTCTTCTTTCTTTAATTTAAGCATTTTAATCAACTTAAAGGCCTTGGATTAGGCTAGTGTTTGGGCTCGACTTAGGTCGACCCAAACCTAGCCAAACCCGAACTCACCTAAACAAACCTAACCTAACCTAGGTCCAGCCCAACTTATAAACCTAACCCAACCTAACTCTATCCCAAACCTAACCCAACCTAGGTCTAGCCCAAACCTAACCCAAACGCTAGACCTAACCCAACCTAGGTCTAGCCCAAACCTAATCCACACCCTAGACCTAACCCAACCTTGGTCTAGCCTAAACTTAACCCAAACCTTAGATCTAACTCAACCTAAGTCAAGCTCAAACCTAACTCAAACCCTAAACCTGACCCAGGTTTAATCTGACATAGGTCGAGCCCAGACCTAATACAAACCCTAAACCTGACCCATGTCTAACATGACTTTGATTTGACCCAACCTAGACCTGATCCAAACCTTAAACATGACCCAGGTCAAACCTAAATCAAACCTATACTAACCCGGGTCAACCAACTTAACTCAGGTCAAACCCAAATCAAATTTAACCTAACCCAAGTCAACCTAGTTTAACCCGGCTCAAACCCAAATCAAACCTAAGCTAACCCCAATCAAACCAACTTAACCCGGGTCAAACACAATTCAAACCTAAGCTAATATGGGTCAAACCCAAATCAAACCTAACCTAACTCGGGTCAAGTCAGTTTAACCCGAGTCAAACCAAATCAAATCTAAGCTAATCTGGGTCAACCCAGCTTAACCCAGGTAAAACTCAAATCAGACCCAAGCTAACCCATGTCAACCTAACTTAACTAGGGGCAACCCAAATTCAACCTAGAACAAACTAATTTAGCTCAAGCCTAATCCCAGCCTAAACTAGTTGAACCACATTATAACTTAGCTCAATCCCCAGCTAAACTAAGCTGAAAATTTAGCTTGCCTCAGCTCAACCCCAGCCCAAGTCTAAGCCAAGGCTATGTGTTACTTTACATGTTTTATTTTATATGTTGTTTCATGTATCATTTCATTCTTTGTTCATGTCTTATTTCTTTCATGTTATTTCATGTTCAAAAACCAAACAAAAAATAACAAAAATACATAAAACAAAAACAAAGATAAGAACTTAGTTTTGTCTACAAACACCACAAATCATAATTTAAATAAAATGAAACTCAAAACATAGAAAACTCCTTTCTCAACATGAGCGACAAATCTAGGAATCAAACAAGACATGAATATCAATATTTAACTTTAAAGGAACAATTAAAACACACCAAAATAAAGAACAAGAACTGAACCTAGGGTAGATCCGTCATGAACCTTAGGTTAGCTAATTTAAATATCGAACTGAGGGTCATACCCAATGTTAGTCTATGTATAAAAACCTATTAGTGCTAAGGACTAAGACATGCAAAACAACAATCTTATCCCTTTAGACTAGAGGGAATGCCATCTAATGAAGTAACCCATAATTACAGACAGCTTCGAAACTATGAATCCTCCATGCTATGATATTTAAGGGGGATACCAATGTTTTTGGGACGAAGAAAAGCCATAGGCATTTTGATCTGGAACGTTAGACCCAAAATCTTGGTTAGTCAGCCCATAAAATTCCTTATAAAGTCTAAGGTTTAATTTTCTATTTAGAAATATTTTCCTTCCCGACTCTATACTTAGCAGAGGGTTCTTAATCACTCATGTCAGTCAAATCCAACATACCTAATCTATCTTTTGACTTCACCTAGTCAATTCTAATTCATCAAATCGTTTCAAATCCTATTCTAAACACCAAACCATTCCCATGATATGTTGTCATTGGATTGTAAGTCTCATCCTTTTCAAGCCTAAATCCTCCCAACTGGACCCCACTTCCAATCATGAAAATTTGATCTCTGGCAACTTGACTTGTCATATTAATCGAGAGATTTTCTTTAGAGCTCACAACTCTAAAGATGTACTTAACTATGAAGGTTTTGCTTTGCAGGAATGAGACCCCATAATAAAAAATAACTTATCTTACACCCGTAAGATAAGGGAAGAATTCCAGTTCTGTAGACCCCAAAAGGTTTCCCTTATCCGAATGACTGAACTCATTCTAAGCTAATGTCTTTATCCCTTAGGATAATACATTATTCTTCAAATATCGTGTTCAGTCATTCAGATAGGGAATCTTTTGAGATCTATGGTGGCACTCACAATCAATAAAATCCCCCACCAAGATTCTTCAGGCGATTTAGACTGGGACTCGATCTCCTCTCCATCTTTTATGATAAGATCAGTAGCATATCCTTCCATTGGACCGTTCCATCAAACTAATCTGAAATTTCATGACTCATAGCATGTCTCTACTCTTTGAATCTCTATTTGCTCAGTTGAACCCTGTAAAATTCTGGGACACTTTTCGTCATTCTTGAAATCTTTTTGGTCTAACTTCGATCTTAATTTCATTCAAAAGTTTTCGAAGACTTTACAGTTGACTCTCTATTGATATCTTCCTATACACACTACAGGCACGATCCCCCGAGCTCATTTTCACTATCGGAAGCGAAAGTAACCCGGCCTTTGATCCAAGCACATGACAAGCTGGTTAGACCTCAAAAATTTTGTGTAGGAGAATTGGTCATAGTTTTCAAGAGGCCGATTCTAACTCATTGAAAAATCGATGGCAAATTTGAACGAATTCGGCAAAGCCCTTATGTAGTAGAAAAGGTCAATCAAGGGGGTTCTTACCAACTGATAGACCACATGGGAGAACATCTGATACCCCCAATTAATGGGTGGTATTTGAAAAAGTATTACATGTAAAAAATATATGTAAACGAAACATAAGAGTCAAGCCATTGTAGAATCTTTAGAAATCTTTAACGAAAATTTGAATTGTTCATCTGTTTATTTTGAGATATGATTTATGCTAAAATTGCTTCTTAAAAACTGTAAGCATTTAGACGACAACTCTTTCATTTATTTGATTGTAAGGAATATCGTCAGGAAAGCTCATCATTTCTTTCAAAGACAGTATCTCTCTGAAAATTGATCAGCACACTAACAAACGCTCTAATCATCAGATTTGACACGAATTATATAGATTTAAATATGGTATGCAATAATCCAGGAATAGTTGTAACCAAGCCCGAATTACTTTTCGAAGAAAAGCATTTGATTGAATTTTCCTTAAAAGAGGCAATTGGCAGCACATGATCGAAAAGAAAGCAGACAAATGATCCCTATGATGTGCCTGTGGAGCCTAAAGTTAATAATAATAAAGGTTAAGTTAAGGAGCAGAAAAGCTCAAGGAACTAATACATACACACCAACACAATCGGCACAATTCTTAAAACAATCGAACGACTCAAAATAATGACCATGATCGAGGCATTAAATTCAAAAGACATTTGAAGATCTAATCAAGTCCACCTTTGGTGAGTTCGATCAACAGACCTATCTATGGTTTCATCCGCCAAAGCTCCCTTAAAACAGGCCAAATGCAACTGGCCGACCAACAACTCTCACCTTGGCAGAAATGACCCCACTTGGCTCGTCATTTTAGTCGATCAAACCTAAACACGTCCACCGAATGATTACTTTCACATTTGAATTCAAATTGTAATATAAATTTAGTATTAAATCAACACATCAATTGCATCAAGATCGATTTTCATAATCACCCTCTGAAGTAATTGAGAGCTATTTCCATAATCAATCTCTTTTTTGTAATTGCACAAGAATGTCTACTATAAATAGGAAGCTCGATGAAGAATAAAAGGCGCCTCCAAGCCTAAGGACTTTTTCTCAACCTCTCTACTGAGAATTTCCTAACATCTCTCTCTTTCCCTACTCCTCCCGGCTCTTAACTCTCGAGACATGTATTTTCCAAAAACAAATTCAGATTCAACAATTAAATTATACATTCTATGTAGCATCAAAGCCATAGGCACTTTAATCATGACATGACTACACAAGCATTAGGAAAAAAAAAAAAAAAAACCCTGCTACCAAATGTTTCGCTTCGATCATTCCTTAAACGCCCATTCTCCAAAAAAAAATAATGCCTGTTAATGTTTAGATAACAAGCTTACAAACCACACAACCCAGCAAGCTGCTCTATCTATCCGTTAAAGAGTCCACACAAAACAAAGCCAACCAGATAACCAAAAAATGAGCAGAATCAAAGTACCAGACAGCTTTGCAGGGTATCCAACCATAACAAATGCAGCAAATTACTCATATTCCATGGCAAATAACCAGCTCCCTCAGGCGAGTTTTTTCAACCACTTCAATACGCCGATCGAACATTCCGCCGTATTCCATAACTGAAACTCTCCTGCTGGGAAGCTCTTCATAATGTCTCAAATAATTATAGCCAAATGACTCTCTCCTTGGTGCTTCTAATACATCAGTATTATAACTATACGTTAGAGGAACCCTACTTCGTAGGGAAACTCCAGGCAATGTTGAATGCTCCAGTTCATGCATCCTCAAGCTGAACATGTTCAAATCTCTAAATTCGAAATCATTATTGCCCTGTATCCTCAAACCTAAATTATCAATCCTAGAAAACGGCCATTGAGCAGTTTCTCTAAATTCTAAACAATTAATACTTCTGGGTACCCTCTCCAAGCTGAATGGAAAGCGAGTTTCTGGGTAACTGATATCATTAATGCTTCTATGGTCAAGATAATTGTCCATGATAGGGCTAATAGAGGAATATGAAGGAAGTAATTCAGTATTTCCCAAGGGATTCTTCTTTTTGAGAAGGTGTCCAAAAATGAATTTGAAGGTGGAGCACTTTCCTAGAGGGAAAGATTGGTCGCTTCTGGGTCCATCTCCTCTCTTGTTATTATAGCCAGGGTAATCTTCAATAGAGAAATTGGCACATTCAAGGAGGAGAAGTGAGCTCTCTGCAGCGAGTTCTTCCAGGTTCCAGTGGGAAAATGGACCGGCAGTTTTGTGACTGACGTGAATTTCACCATAAGCCCAGAGCATGCGGCTTGCGTTTTTAAAAAAACCCCGCACAAGCTGCCTGTGCAATCTGACATAAAAAAAATGTTATTATTGTAAATAGAAAGATGAATCAAGAGAATTTGTAATAAATTTTGAGGCTTGAATATTTGATTATGTGATGAATATGAACTTAAAATATAAGAATTATTCGAAATCAATTGTCCTGTGAGATTTTTGACAAAGTTGTTTATTTAACGTCGTTTGAGAAGAGTAATAACTCTGAATGAATGAAAGAAATGAAAGGGGCAGCGAGAAATAACCAGCCAAAAATGAATGTATAAGACAGCATGCTGTTTTAAATATATTGAATCAGTACAATTTTTAATTATTCACAAACGAAACTTGAATCATA